CCTACCCATCATATCCCACACGTGCTCAATTGGGGATAAGTCAGGAGATCTTGGTGGCCATGGTAACAATGTGACATCATTATGTTGAAAGAAGTCTATTGTGACTCTTGCAACATGTGGTCGGGCATTATCTTGTTGGAAAGTTGGATCTGCCAGGGTGTCAAGATAGGGTAAAAGATGGGGTTCTAGAACTTCGTGGATATAACGCTGCGCGTTCATGTTACCTCTGATGGAGATTAAAGGTGACCTGGAACCATAAGCTATAGCACCCCAAACCATAACTCCAACAGTGTGATGAACATGTCTTTCAATAAAAAACTGTGGATTCCTCCTTTCACCACGTCACCTTCTAACCCTGGCACGACCATCGTGCATGCCTAAACAAAATCGAGACTCGTCACTAAAGACAATACTGTTCCATTCCTGATCCAGAGTGACCGCTGTCTGCACCACTCAAGGCGATTACGTCGGTGTTCTCGAGTTAAAGGGAGGACCCAGTGTGGCCGGTATGAAAACAAGCCAAAACTTCTCAGTCGTCGGTAAACACTTCGCATGCCAATAGGTCTTCCGTGTTCTGCAAACCATTCATTTGCAATGGACCTGGTAGTGGAGAAACGGTCCCTTAAGGCCAATAATCTTAAGCGGCGATCTTCACGGTCTGTTGTTCTACGGCGGCGTCCAGTTCCCCTTGCTCTTTGCGTACGGCCTTCTCGAAGTCATGCCTGACAACACCTAACCACAGTGTCTACACTTCTTTGCACTCTAACTGCAATTGCCCGAAAAGAAAGTCCAGCTTCCCGAAGTCCCACTATACGGCCCCTATCAAACTCACTAAGTTGACGAAATCGTACAGGTCTCCGTACTCTAGGCATCGTAACCGATCATAAAGGATGTCAAGAACCAAAATCCGCCAACGTTGATTCTTTACTGCGGCTGAAATATTCATTTTTAGAGCGTTAGTGAATTAAAAAAAAGCAGTATAAAAACCGGAATGTCCAACTGATAAGGCTGAAATTTTTTTCACTTGTTATTTACAGTAAGATAAATATATGTACATTCACCAACTTTTATTGAAATTAAACCATTTAAACTGGGTGTTCGGATTTATATGTCACTGAGTATAGACACATACGCGAGAAGAGATGCGGGACGAGTGGTACTGACTTTGAGCATCGATCGACGCAGTTTCTAGACAGGCCACAGGTGCACCGCTAAACAAATCTCATAATTCCAATTCCAATTTAGGCGTTCATCTAAAGGTGTGATTCCACCAGTGTGCTGAACTGTGCGGCACAAATGTTTGTTCTGGTCGACTCACTCACGCAAACAATAGCAAATGGTGCGCAAACATTTCGGAAACGTTCGCGAACATCAGTTACTTTTGTGCGCGCGCACATGCAAGCAGTGGACTCGCGTCGGCGGGTACATACTTGTTGTTCGCGAGCTCAGTATTGCTTCCGGTCCTGGACTGAAAACATTTGTTTGTACGCGCACTTCTTTTACGAAATTTAAAATGGACTGGACGAATGATAGGATTATAAAATTTATTCAAGCAATTGAAACGTATCCTCTTCTATGGGATTCCAGTCACCATGATTATAAAAACAGAAACAAAAAACACGACGCCACTCAAGAGTTGGCTCAAAGTTTCAATTGTGACTCGACTGAGGTAATGAGAAAATAGAAGATTATTTTGGCTCGGTACCGAAGAGAAAAGAAGAAAATAGAGCATATAAAATCTTCAGGTTCTGGGTTCTCAGATTTATTATTTGTTATTTTATATTGTTATCAAAACTACAGTTTTTAACGCCAAGATTCGTTTCAAGATGTAATATTACTTTCTTTTGCAGTTGTGCTAACACAAATTTGATTTTGAAATCACCTGAAATGGTTATGTGTTTGAATTATAATAGTATTTGTAAGTTTTGTGACATATTTTTATGTTCTATTTCGGAGCTAAAATGTGTTCTGCGGGAGCGCCTTAGATAGTTTTATAAGTTAGGCTTTTGTAATATTTCTAATTTAAGATTTTGGCCTATAAATGGAATATTATCTGTTGCGCAATAAAAGCTATAAATAAGCCTTATTGAAACAGGGACACATTTTCTGTAGTTGGTGTCTTGCTTTGCAATATGAGGACCAAGTGCAAATCTTCACACGATATACGAGTAAAATTTTTAAATCCACTTAAGGGATGTACTTTTATTTCTTCTACAAATCTATTCGTTTCTTCATTCCATCACTGCATAAATGGCCTCACCCAACATCGTGGTTTTCTTCTTCGTTTCTTTTTAAGCAGACTACCTATTAAAACACAAGCTGCAGCACAAAACACTACGTATTGCCGCCCATCCATATTAAGAACTGAAGTTAGTGAGAACTTTGCTTGGTAAACATGTTCGTGCACAAATGTGCTACACTGTACGCTTACAAAAGTTATGCACTGCTTTGCCGGTGGACACAGAAGATAAATTCGATACCAGTGAGCACATTCAATGCCGGAGTTTCACACAAAATGTTTGTAAACAAATGTGCTGAACACTATTTTGGTGGAATCGTACCATAACATAGTGCTTTGCTGCAACACCAACCCCGAACAAAATCTGTCAAGCTTTACACACTTTTCAAATTACTATTGAGGAACAAACAGAACATGATTCACTTTTTAAGTGCAATCTGTATAGCTAATATATTACCCAGACATAGATTTGTCTCAAGTCATAATACTCATATATATATACGTATAAATCGTAGGAATTGTGCTGTAAACAAGTGATGTCAAAGTGGGCCAGCATTTGGAATATCAAAGGATAAAAAAATCGCAATGCTCAGTTCTTATAGCTAGAACTTATACTTAGTATTCCTCTGTCGCCATGATGTGTCAGAAAGTAACACAATGGTGTTAGATTACAAAAGCAACTATCAGACTTCAAGGGGTGGCGCGCGCCCCCCGCGCCCCCCTCTAAGTCCGCCACTGGATCTCAGCCGGTGTGTTGGAAAAAAGAATCTTGGGGATGCAACAATCTTGTATAGTTTAATGCTTCCAAAACACAGTACTGTACGTTGACGAACACAAAGCGTCCTAGCGCTCATCCGGTTTCAACGGATGCCCGAGTTCTGCCAAAGAGCTGTTCATTTCGGCTGGTAGGAATCCAGACCACGGAGGATTTGATTTGGCATGAACACATCTCGTCAATAGCGGCAGCTACTGGGAAAAAGCTTGGCTATTTGTTTTCTCCGCAAGACCCCCTCATTCTATACAAGTCCCAGATGAGGCATAGCCTCCACTATTACTCACACGCTTGGGGTGCTACGTTGCCCATGCTCGATGCTGTCAAGAGGAGGGCTGCGCGAATAATCGATGACTCTTCTCTAAGAGACAGACTCGGGACCCTGTCACACCTTCAGGCCGTTGGTGATCTAGCTCTCTTCTACAGCTATACCAACAAGCTTCGCTCCTCAAAGCTGTCCTCCATGAAGCCGCCGCGCGATGTGCCTGCCAGTCAGACCTGACTACCGCCTCCCGTCCTAACCGTGTCGAACTTCATACATCCAAAACTGGCCGATACGACCGTTCCTTTGTTCCGAGAGTGTCGAGATTGTGGTACAATCTACAAGAGGAGACTTTTCCCAGTTCTGCTAACATTAGGCAGCTCAAAAATCGGTTTAACAAAGTTGCTTTGGGATCCTCATAGCAGCCGCGGTGTCCTGGCATTTCGTCTTCTGCCTGCCAGGCTGCTTCGGTATATAAAAAAAACGTTTTGGGCAACACCTATAGCTTCTGTGAGTAGGTACACAAAGTGTACGACAGCTAAGTAGTTCGAAATTGACATCTTGTAGGAAAACCTAAAGAATGTCACAAAAAGCCTATATAATATAAAATGAAACCCGATATCATTATGTCATTTCACTTATACATTACTATGGCGTCTTGATTCAAGAAGTAATATTTTGCATTGCACATTATGGTAGATTGTATTTAAAATCTGATATTTTCCTTCACCTCATTCGGTTCAGAAAAATCAAGTTTATACACCGTCGACAAACTGTTACCCCTAACAACGTAATTGATCAGCCCTGTGCCCTGTCGTTCATAATGCTGCGTGTCTATCAAATTATGTGCAGCTATCGCATGAACAGGATCGGATTCTCATAAAATGACACTCCTTCCTGGGACCAAGGCTAGATCGTGCTGATGAGTTACCAAAAAGCACGAAACAGCTGTCTACGGATTGTCGCTTGTGGTCAGCAGGGCTTTTACGTAAAAAACTTAAGAAAACTGACAAAATGTCAACTTGCTGCCTAGATAGTTTCCAGTGTACAAATAGCACATTCCGCGTTTGCTCGCTATGAGCGCTGAGAGGGTCATCAAAAGCGTCCATCTATGGAGGAATGACTCAACGACACGCCACGCTCAATAAACATGCTTCACGCTGCAAGTCAGGTCCCCAGTTGTTGGCTGCAGAATGCCGTATCTGTACTCTGGGAAGATATGTGGTTGAGTAGCAGTAGCAAGATTACATCTGGATGATTGTGTGTATTGGTCTGATTGTGTGTAAAACCAGTCATATTATTTGCTAAGTGAGAAATTTTATACTGAATATATAAATTTTATACCCATGAAATATATCTATTAGCTGTGCCAGATGGGTTATTAGTGTTGTGTTTCTGAAGAGAGGTTATGTTCAAAGTTATACATTCTGACTTTCCCCGTTTTTTGGCGTTTTCAAAAACTTTGAGAAGCATTACGGGAAATCAGCACCGCACCCGCGATACGTGTAATTAAGACACATCACAAAACACATACAAAACATTTTCGCACTGCTCCACATCTAGGCGCTGATTTGTATTTTCTACTTGACATCGTAAAATAAATTTCTATAAAATTTAAAGTGATGGAAATAAAAATAATGTGAAATGTAATAATGTTTTCACGCTTCATAATTATTCCTGTATGTACCATTGGCCATTGTTTAAACTATTTTTCAATATACTAGAAACTGGTATCTAAACATGCGTAAAACAATTTATCGTTTCTGTTTACCTCAGATTGTAGTTGAAATTGTGAACTGGAGAGTTGAAAAAATAGAGAGACCTTTCTGCAACGTATCTTTGGTCTACAATGAAAACTCTTTTTAAGCTTACTATCCTCAGAGTTTCAGTAAGTACGAACCTGCCAGTTATTGTAAACGCGTTTTGTGTACGCTTTCCGCTTTCAGGACCGGGAGGGCTTCCCTTCCATAAATTTCGCTGTTTACAGGGAAAGCGGCGTGTTCTAGAACTTCATGACTGGACAAAAATAAAAGCGAAATAACTGGAAAAGCATTTCCTGCAGGGGTGCAGACTCAATAAAAGGTACATAAAGGATGATTACATGGTTCTTTGAATTACTTTGAGTAACTTATATTTTTACAGATAGCAAGCTATCAAGGCATGGTCATGCATACTGAAAAGAGTCAAGTCGTCACGTATGCTTATAAGGCTGTTAGTTTATAAAACACAACATTTGATTTTGAAAACTTGGTGCATAACGTAATCAGGATGATGCAAAATGACTGATGAAAAAAAAAAATACCTTACACCGTATGCAACTCAGTTGCTTTCATGCGTCAGAGGCATTCGAGTGAAAGAAAACTTGAGGGTACACAAAAAATATGTTTCATGTTTTATAGTTTCTTAGGTTAAGGTAAGTTTTAGGCATATTAAAGACGATCTTACTTACCCATCGTACTAAAATTAGATTTTTTTGGATGCTATCTGCCTAGTACATCACTCGTTTCCGTCGGTCTATCTGTCGATCTGTCTATCTGTCCGCTAATCCTTTTCCCGTCTAGTACTGCTTGGATTTGGGTGACATTTTTACACAAGATTACTCACATGTCAAAAACTACGAAAAAGCTTTGTAGCATTTTTAAATCGGTTCAGTGGCGGCGGAGAAAAGGGCCAAAAACGCAAATCAATCAAACTTCGTTTTTCGACGTTTCAAAGGAACCTGATAATTTTTGAACATTTTTTTAAGGGTAAAACATTGGGGGTTAGTATACTAATACAGTCCCAGCCACGGTAATTTTGCGCACCTTTTGACATAATATATTTCAAACCTCATAGATTTTGCCGTAAACAACTGTCATTAAAACTTCTTTCAGCAGACGCATATCGGTCGTACGTGCCGTGTGCCTCGTTGTTATTTAAAAATATTGCATCTATGCATTCATGCCTCAGAAACCGGAGTTTAAAGCCCTAGTGCTGACTGCTGGAGATACTGAGCGAAATATACTCAAGAATTAACAAAATTCAATGGTGTATAACCTCGTCTATAATCTGGAAACACTTAGGTACAAGTTGGCGCGGTGAAATGACATGAAAATTTTATGTATGTGTTTTGAAAATTATAGGTCTTTGAAAAAGATATAGAAATTTCACACCCTACGGCAGTCTGTCAACTCCTGTTACTACAAATATTAACTTTTTTGAATTTTATTTTTACAATGTAATGATGAATAATGCATCTTCAAACTGGTGTCTCAACCTTACTGCCAACTTTTCTCGTTCAGGAAAAATTGACACTTATTTCCCAACCAAGTATTCCAAAGTAAAACTTTGCTCAACTTTAACTGGCTGTACTGGAAAATAATGTACTACGAGAGTTTGGCAAGTAACCTTAAAAGTTGGCGCATTTAATAACGATTCCAAAATGGTATAACACTTAGAAGATTACTCGTTAACTTATGCTCAATTTTTATTTGAAAAAAAACTGATGAAAATTTTTCAAAATTTCCTAATTAAACAGCGATTATGAAAACGCACAAGGGCCCTTAAGGATAACTGTTTGCACAACAGTGGGCGTCAAAATGCTGCTGATGATGATTTACCTTTACAGCAAATGCTCAAACTGTTTTCCTTCGGCCGCAATACACGCTCGACATCTTCTTAAAAAAGATCGGGTTATTAAACGAGCGAATCCACGGTTATTAACAAACTCAGCTGCTTCCAGTAGTCTTTGCCGTAGCTCAGCTACATTCTGAATCGACTTGAAATACACTTTTTCTTTTACAGTTCCCCAGTAAAAAAATCTAAAGGATTCAAATCAGGTGATCGGGCTGGCCACGGTATTGTACCAGACCGCCTTATCCATTTGCCTGGAAAGTTTTGATCCAGATACCCTCTCACTGAGAGTGCATAGTGCGCTGGGCAGCCATCATGCTGAAACCACATGTCCCTGTAAATACTCAGTGGCACGTCCACCAATAAATTTTGTACATGATTTTTAAAAAAATCCAAATAAACTTCAGCAGTCAAAGTCTCTGGGAACTCAAACGGACCGATTATTTTACCATTTAAAATTCCTGTCCAATGGTTTATCTTGAAGCGATATTGAGATGTATCTTCTCTCATCAAATGTGGGTTTGCTACGTGCCACTCGTGTAAGTTATGCAGGTTCATGTACCCATCTTTCTTAAATGTGGTCTCATCCGACCATAAAATTTTTTCAAAGAACTGTGGTTCTTTCCTGTATCTTTCTAACATTGTGCGACAAAAAGCAACTCGGGGCTCATAATCCCGGGGCAGGAGAGGTTGAACACGCTGTATGTGGTATGGACGAAGCACATCACTTACTTGCTGTTGCACACTGTGATACCGATCAGTACTCCTTCGTTTACTGCGCATCTTTACATGTTCGTGCTTGTTGATTTCGTACTGTTACTAATTTTGGATTCGTGAACTGGACTGTTGGTCGCTTGCGATTTGGATTTGGACTGTTTAATTGCTCTTCAAAACAACATTTGCTTTCCTTAAACTATCTTTGATAGTGTGATTGTGTAGTGCCACTATGTCCGTGTACGCCGTACAAGAATATGCTAACATGCACCTCATTTATGGGGAATGCAGATGCAACGCTAGTGCTGCAGCGAGACTTTACTGTGAGAGGTACCCGAATGCAGCTCGTCATCCAGATCATCGAGTGTTCACAAATGTGCACCACTTACTGTTCTCAGAGGGCCAACTACCAAACCAATCACACGGTGACGGAAGATCTTTCCTTCCTTACGAAGACGTGGTGCTAGGAGCTGTCGAAGAAGACCCGAGTACTTCAGTGCGTGCAATAGAACTAAAAACAGGTGTGCCCAAAAGTACATAGAATCTTGCAAACGTGCTCCATCCATACCACGTACAGCGTGTTCAAGCTCTTCTGCCCCGGGATTATGAGCCCCGAGTTGCTTCTTGTCGCAAAATGTTAGAAAGACACAGGGAAGATCCACGGTTCTTTGAAAAAATTTTATGGTCAGATGAGACCACATTTAAGAAAGATGGGTACATGAACCTGCATAACTTACACGAGTGGCACGTAGCAAACCCACATTTGATGAGAGAAGATAATAAGGAATTTTAAATGGTAAAATAATCGGTCCGTTTGAGTTCCCAGAGACTTTGACTGCTGAGGTTTATTTAAGTTTTTTTTACTGGGGAACTGTAAAAGAAAAAGTGTATTTCAAGCCGATTCAAAATGTAGCTGAGCTACGGCAAAGACTATTGGAAGCAGCTGAGTTTGTTAATAACCGTGGATTCGCTCGTTTAATAACCCGATCTTTTTTAAGAAGACGTCGAGCGTGTATTGCGGCTGAAGGAAAACAGTTTCAGCATTTGCTGTAAAGGTAAATCATCATCAGCAGCATTTTGACGCCCACTGTTGTGCAAACAGTTATCCTTAAGGGTCATTGTGCGTTTTCATAATCGCTGTTTAATTAGGAAATTTTGAAAAATTTTCATCAGTTTTTCTTCAAATAAAAATTGTGCATAAGTTAACGAGTAATCTTCTAAGTGTTATACCATTTTGGAATCCTTATTAAATGCGCCAACTTTTAAGGTTACTTGCCAAACTCTCGTAGTACATTTTTTTCCAGTACAGCCAGTTAAAGTTGAGCAAAGTTTTACTTTGGAATACTTGGTTGGGAAATAAGTGGCAATTTTTCTTGAACGAGAAAAGTTGGCAGTAAGGTTGAGACACCAGTTTGAAGATGTATTATTCATCATTACATTGTAAAAACAAAATCCAAAAAAAGTTAATATTTGTAGTAACAGGAGTTTATTATTAATATTATATTTATTGCAATAACCATTGTAAATTTCAGCCGGATTGGTTTAACAGTTTATTTAAAAAGCTAATTGCTTATCCCATAGATGAATTATTTAAACAACACTCCCAAGATATGGTCTCAGAACATTTTACAAAAGTGAAATGGATTCTTGTAGATGTTAAAAATATAGCCATTTTTAGAGTTACAAATATTACAACTCCGTTATATTTCAACATAATTTATTTTAACAAGTTGGCCTGGATAGGGGGTTGAAAAACGCATATTTAAAAAATCTTGTACGACCAATAGGAGCCAGATAAAAATTGGTAAGCAGCATACATTACGGGTATATTACCCATTACAAACATGGTTTTGACAATAAATTAGATCTAACCAAGTACGAATTGAGGTGACCCGATGTATACTATCGTTAGTTAATACCAGACAATACTATCAAACAAATTTCGTACAAATGTACTACTGGTTGCGAAACGGGTAGGTGTAGTTGCCAAAAATATAGACACAATTTTGTGCATAAATTATAATGCCGGTGATGATGACACATGCTACAACCTTGCTGTAATTGGAATTGACGATGATGAAGAGCAGACTGAAAAAATCGATGACTTGTTCAAAGAAATAAGTTTACATATATTGAAGAAGTAGTAGAGCGCCCAAACAAAAGATTTAGAATGGGGGATCAAGATTAATTAAATAATAAAGTATTATAATAAAAAAATACATTACATAATATTATTATAACAGAAAGAATGCAAATAAAATAAATATAAATAAAAGATAAACGTGAATCATTATTTTTCACAATTCACTGGAATGTATTTTGTTAAGAGTATACCAATTAACTGAATTAAGAATTGTATAAAAATTGTATTGCAAAATATAAATTATTCTATTAGAGTGAGAGTTAAAGTAAATGATTTATTGTTAATTTATTATTATTTCATAGTAATTTAACTTTGAAGAATACAACGTATCAAATTTTCCGAGACCTCCCGATTTTCCAGGAAAATGAAAATGTGCCAGATGTCATTATTTCGAGTTACCACGAATTCAACAAAAATAAGGTTCCGCGTTGCTTAGGAGCCGAGATAATATAAAATTCGCTCCGATCTGAAGACTCAATTTTAAAAAATAAGAGCTAGAGCTGATTGCCCCACCACCTCACCCGAAAATACGCGAGTACCTTTACTTTCAAAGATATTTGAACATTAATAGTAAACACTCAACAACGATTTTAAAGAAATAATACATTTTTGCAAAAATTCTTGAAGAATACATTTCCCCGTTGGTGAATGTTCTAGGACCATATCTTGGGCAAAAACAATTTTTTAAATAATTCGTTCCTAGGATAAACAATTCGATTTTTACATAAACTATTAAGCCGATCCGGCTGAAATTTAGCACACATATTAACACCTCATTCTCACAAATTCTTAGCCTTTTACATATGTTATTGCAATATTTCTAAACATTTATTCAAAAACGCTGAGAAGACCTATATTTAGCTTAATTTTTTATCGATTTTAATTCTTAAAAAATAAAAATTTAAGACTGTCTATGCTCAAAAATCTCCAGTTTACCGATTATT